AAGAAAAAAAAAGGGTTTAGGGTTTAGGGTTTAGAGATTAGGGTTTAGGATTTAGGGTTTAGGGTTTAGGGTTTAGGGTTTATGATGTTGGCGCAGAGTATTTGAGGCGATCGCGGACAAAGTTGAATACATCGCTTCCCTGGTAAGAAGGATAAAACAGGGTTTAGGGTTTAGGGTTTAGGGTTTAGGATTAAGACTGTATTACCAAGAGTTTCCTCCTGGGTATTTAATGCCTCGAACCTGTATGGGTAAATTAGGGTTTAGGGTTTAGGGTTTAGGGTTTAGGGTTTGTATGCAGGGTTTTACAGCAATAGAATTAATGCCTATACAAGAGTACGGGGGTTTATGGGGTTATAACCCTCGTCTTCTTATGGCATTACATTCTCCTTATGGAAACCCTCAAACCCTAAAAAAACTTGTTAATTGTTGTCATCAACATAATATTGCCGTCAGTTAGGGTTTAGGGTTTAGGGTTTAGGGTTTAGGGTTTACGGGGTGGTGTATAGGGTCTACAGTTTGCGGCTTGGTGTTGGGTCACTAGAGCTTATGCATTCAGTACAAGGTTGCATCTAGGGTTTAGGGTTTAGAAATTAGGGTTTAGGGTTTAGGGTTTAGGGTTTAGGGTTTAGGGTTTATGCAGGTAATATTTGATTTGGTGTTAAATCATGGATCATCAAAATTGAATTCACTTTGGAATTGGGATGGGTAAATATATTGCTGCTGCTGCTGCTGCTGCTGTTGCTGCTGCTGCTGCTGCTGCTGCTAGTTTGCTGCTGTTGGCGCTGTTGTGTTGCTGTATCTACTGCTGTTACTGCTGCTGCTGCTGCTGCTGCTGTTTTGCTGCGGTTGCTGCTGCTATCACCCCTCATCTTGCTCCTCTTCCTATCACTAAGACATTGCCTCTACTCCTGTTGCTGCTACTACTGTTGCTGCTGCTGCTGCTGCTGCTGCTGCAGTTATGGTCCTAATAATAATGGTGGTATATACTTTGAGGGTGGGGGGGATTCAACTTGGGGAAAAAAGTTTTCTTTTAATAAAAAAGAAATAAAAAAGATGATAAAAAAAGCGGCAATTTCTTTTGTTGAGGAGTATAAGTACGCTCCTGCTGCTGCTGCTCCTGCTGCTGCTGCTGCTGCTGTTGCTGCTGTTGCTGTTGCTGTTGTTGTTGCTGGTGGTGGTGCTGGTGGTGCTGCTTCTGCTGCTGTTGGTGGTGGTGTTGATGGCGATGGTGCTGCTCTTGCTGCTGCTGCTGCTGCTGCTGCTGCTGCTGCTGCTGCTAGGGATACACATATCTTTAGCATCAGTGCAACACAATAGATACGACATACTAGCAGCAGCAGCAACAGCAGCAACAGCAGCAGCAGCAGGAGCAGCAGGAGGTGTGTGTGTTGTGCAGCCCCGATGGTCTTCGTCTTGATTCTGTTCATAATATGCCAATTGATCTATTAACAGTAATTCCTCTATTTATTTATTTATTTATTTATTTTATTTATTATTTATTTATTTATTTATTTATAAGTTAATTAATTAGTTTATTTATTTATTTATTTTATTTATTTTTTTTTATTTATTTTATTTTTTATTTATTTAGGCGTCTATTTATTAAATTCTCTTTTTTTTTATTTTTTTTTCTTTTTTTTCTTTTTTTGTCCCTTTTTTCTTTTTATTTACATTTAATTCTTTCTTTCTTTTTATTTATTTATTTATTTATTTATAATTATTCTTTTTTTTTTATTTATTATTAATTCTTTTTCTTTTTCCTTTTTATAATAATTAAATTATCCATTTTGTGTGTTTGTTTGTTTATCATTAATAAATAAATTAAATAAATAAATAAATAAATAAATAAATAAATAAATAAGATAAAATAAATTGAATAAAATAATTATATAAATAAATAAATAAATAAACTAATTAATTAATTAATTAATTAATTTGTGTGTTTATGTCTAATAATAAATAAAATAAAATAAAAAAAAAAAAAAAGGAATTAATAAAATATATAAAAGAAAAATATCCTAATGTATTTATTATAGCTGAAGTTACACCAGAAAATCCAAAAATATGCAAAGAAGTTGCATGCGATTCATGTTGGATACATTCAGCTTATTATGATGCTGTTAAGGTAAACCCTAAACCCTAAACCCTAAACCCTAAACCCTAAACCCTAATTTTTTAAACCCTAATTTTTTAAAGAATATATATTATATTTTACATTATAGTAAGAAAAGGGTTTACATATAAACCCTAACTATATTAGTCTGCTTATACTATTATGACAAACACTAAACCCTAAACCCTAAACCCTAAACCCTAGAAACCTGATGTTTGTGCAGATAATGAGGAACGAAGAATCTCCTTATCATCTTTCTATGCTGAAAAATATTGTCGATATCCATTAGTAAACCCTAAACCCTAAACCCTAAACCCTAGAGTGTAATATTTCCCTTTACTGGGACTGCAAACGATGTACAGGCTCAAGGGTTTAGGGTTTAGGGTT